CTGGCGGACGGCGCGGCGGCTCGTGCTGTGAGGCCCAGAGGGGGGGGCCATGGCGCAGTGCTCATCGTCGTCGTCATCGGCATGATCATCATCGTTATCGCCATCGGCATCGCCATTACAGTCAGCCCGTATGCCAACGATTCGCGGCAAGGAGGCGAGGGCCCCGGCAAGCCACGCTGTCGTCTTTCGAGCGTGGGTGGGCCGAAGGGATGGGCCGAAGGGGCAAGAATGCAGGGGCAACCTTGGAAAGTCGCTCATCCTTACTATGCGGGTCGACTGCATCAACAGGCAACCGAGCACTGCACTCATCGGACCCACTCCAAACTCAATCATGCTCGCGTCGTGACGGAACGTTTTTTAACTGTTTTCGGCATCCGGGGGCCCTCGCCAGGCCCCAGGACTGTAAACCAACGGCTCGGGGTTAAAATGCGGCCCTGAGGGAAGGGTCGGGATTTCTGGGGACCCCGTATTCAAGGGCTCCCAACTTCGCGCTTCGCGCTGCGCGAAGCGCGAAGTGCGAATGACTTCGCGCTCTCGCGCCGCCTCCCAGGGGAGAAGAGGAAGGTGAGGAATCGGAGCCGAACCGCGAAGTGCGAAACGCGGATAACTTCGCGCCCTCGAGGGCGCCCTTGGTATTGAAAAAACAATTTGTTGGATCTCTGGGTAGTTCAGACGAGCACTGCACCCCTCGGGCCCAATCCAAATCCCTCGGGCCTCCTCCCGGGCTACCCCAGGCCAGACTTAGGTCGGGCATGTCCCTCTACAGGAGGATTTTGGACGAAAAATAAGAAATTGTAAAAAATAATGCAAAAAATGCTCAGGAACACTCCAAAAATCGTCCCCAGACTATTTGTTTGGCGATTTTTGAATGCTCCCCCTGTAGAGGGACAAGCCCGACTTCAGGCCAGACGCAAGAGTGACCCTGGGCAAGAGTCACCTCTGGCGCGCAGCTTTCGGGGGGGCCCCGGGGAGGCCCAACCGAAACGCGCAGGACGCCGCTCCCGCATCGCGCTCGGCGGTGGGGGGGGCCCCCGTGGGCCCGCACCAAACGTCACTCCGGCGAGGGGTACGTTCAGGAGGGGAAAAAACACACAGACACAATCAATCGTCGACTCCCCAGAAAATATGGGAAAATATGGGAAGTGGTGGGGAAGACAAAAACCCAGAAAATGTTGGAACATATGGGGAATATGTTTATTTGTGTGTATCTATTTTTGTATCCCAGGGCCCCTTCATACGTGTCGTCGGCACCCTGAGATCCTGGCGATGCAGTGTCGTCACACCGGCAATGCGCCCGGTCTCGGGCCGACTCGGCGCGTCCCCGATCGATGCGGCTCGGAAAATCGCAGCAGGAGGACGGGGCCCGGGGCTCCAGTCGCGATGTTTCGCGACCCTCCTCCTCCTCCTCCTCCTCCTCCTCCTCCTCCTCCTCCTCCTCCTCCTCCTCCTCCTCCTCCTCCTCCTCCTCCTCCTCCTATCCTCCTCCTCTCCTCCTTCCTCCTCCCTCCTCCTCCTCCTCCTCCCTCCTCTCCTCCTCCTCCTCTCCTCCTCCCCCTCCTCCTCCCCCTCCTCCTCCTCCTTCTCCTCCTCCTCCTCCTCCTCCCCCTCCTCCTCCTCCTCCCCCTCCTCCTCCTCCTCGCCACGCCAGACCTCCGGGCAGGGGGGCGACTCCGCCGCGCACGAGGCCTGCCCCCGAGGGGCGCGGCCTGCCGACCGCCGCGTGCGGTGCGGCGGCGGCGGCCTCTGCGCGCGCTCGGGCCTGGACGCTCCCCCCCCCCAGCTGAAGGGGCCCTGGGACACACAGATAAATACACGCAAATAAAAAGTATTCCCCATATTTTCCCATGAATTTTTTGGGGGGGGGCTCTTCCCCCCCACTTCCCATAGTTTCCCATAGTTTCCCATATTTCCAAGCGCGCGCCTCGTATTTAAGGGCTCCCGACTTCGCGCTTCGCGCTGCGCGAAGCGCGAAGCGCGAAGCGCGAAGCGCGAATGACTTCGCGCCCTCGCGCCGCCTCCCAGGGGAGAGGAGGAAGATGAGGAGGAATCGGAGCCGAACCGCGAAGCGCGAAACGCGAATGACTTCGCGCCCTCGAGGGCGCCCTTGCGGAAGCCGGAGGCCACTTCGGCGAAGGGCCACCACGTCAGAGTGTCTCGAGCAGGGGATCGATTACAGAACTCTGCTTTGCCACCCAAAAGTAAATTTCTCGTCGGATCTACGAAACCAACTGCGAAGAATTCTCGGTAGATTCTCAGTGTCTAGAGGCCTCCCGGATGGGGTCCGAGCAGATGGGGTCGCAGGATCGCGCCGCATCGCCGATACAACGACGATGCATCGGCGATGCACCGGCGATGCACCAGCGATGCACCGGCGATGCACCAGCGACGTCGGCGCTGCATCGGCGACGTCGACGTGAAGCAACTGGAGCTCCACATCGAGCCGCATCGGCGATGCATCGACGATGCGGCGCGATCCTCCGACCCCATCTGCTCGGACCCC